CAGTTTGTTTGTTGTTAAGTGTAAACCAACAACCTAGAAACTTAAATGGTTGGTTAGTGGGTATGGATTCTAGAGTGAAGTTAAAGAATTGAATATTAGATGTAGATGAATTAGAAATGAAAACAGATTTGATGGCATTAATTTGAATATTGGCTATTATATAGAAGGATAAGGCAGTTTGGGTAATTTGTTCTAGTTCCTATTTTGTTTTTGCTATTCAGAGTATATCATTCATGTAAGCTAGTACTGATGTAGACATGTGAAGAGTTTGGGATCTAGGTGGTTAAAGATGGGTCTTTCAAGTTGTAGATAATGAGTAACCTTTATATTGAAATGCAATTCTGTAAATAAGAGGGTCATAATAAATGCGCCAAAATAATGGAGTTATTGTTTCTCTCTGATCTATTCCATTTTTGATTGTATATAGATTGGTTAGGCCAAGATTTGTAATTATTCTGTTTTGACAGTCTGTTAATAAATTAGTAAGTATGTTAACTAACTTGGGGGCATGTTGATATGGTTTAGTGCTTTTTCAAACAGATTCAGATTAACTGAGTTGTACGCTTTGCTCATATCTTAAAATATAAGCCAAAGTTGTTTAGAGTTGCAGGATGCATCTTCGATTATATTATTTAAAATATGTATAGATATAGCTGTGCTATTGCCTAGCAGAGCAATATAATTATAGAGTAATAGGATGTCATGTTTGATAAGTACTTGGTTTAAGCGATTTGTGAGAAGTTTTGTATATAATTTTTTGGCATGTTCAAGAAAGCTAATAGGCCTGGTATTAATTAGATTGCAGTCAAAGATAGGTTTTTTGGAAATTGGAAAAATTCTATCCTCTTTCCATTGCTTTGAGATTTGGTTTGAAGTAATACATCTATTTAGAAGAGCTGTAATTGCTTAAAGAAAGAGTACACCTGCATGTTTTAACATTTTATAGCTGATGCCAGATGGGCCACAAGCCTTGTTATTTGGGAGATGAGATAGTGTTTCAGTCACTTTAGTGATAGTAAATTCTTTGATTATATCATTATACTATGTGGAGTTGATGTGTATTTTGCAGTTATATTCTTTTCTCTAGTTGAATTCAAAGATTTGTTGGTTGGTATGTCGAAAGGATGTCTATTGGTCAAAGTGTTGTTGAATATGCAGTTTGATGTCTTGGAGGTCAGTGATTACATCATTGCTTGTTCTAATGTTATCAAATTTGACTGGATCCTTGTAACGATTAAGTATGCTATTGATCATTGATTTTGGGTTTGATTGAAGTTTGAAGCATCTTTTAGAAATATTATCATTAATTTGTTGTCTTATTTCTTTAATATTTTCTATGTTACGGGCATGATAAATAGATTTCCATTCAGTTTTAGCAAGTGCTAGCCAGTTTGGTAATGAGTTGTGAATAGTTGGTAAAGGTGAAACATTAAGTTGGTTGAATATATTTATTTGGTTAATGAGGTGATTATGTTGGTATGATATAGGGGTAGAGTTTTTTAGTGAGTATTTGACTTGTTTGATTATATTGCCTAATTTCTTGAGATGTTGATATAGAGATGATACTTTTGTAGAGAAGATATTTTAAAAGTTTTTGACAGTAAATTTTTTATTTGGGATATGTTGTATAGTAGTGGAAATAATACTGTTTTGGATTTTGTGCCAGGAAGATTCAAGTGATTCTGAGGTTTGTGTGCTGAGTGGGGTTTTGTTGTTATTAAGATTTAATGTTACTTGGTCTGCAAATTGTTGCCATTTATCTTTATTCATATTTTTGTATAAGAATATTCTTTTATGGGTTTTGGTGAGATGTCTGAGTTTGCCTATATATGCATAAGAGAAGAGCCAATAGGAGTTCAGAATTTTATGATCACTCTGAGTACTGGTATTAGGATCATCTATAGTAAAGGAGTTGAGATATTGGAGAAGAGGTTGATTGGCCCAGATGTAGTCTATACTGCTCTGGTATCTGTTGCTTTGCCAGATGGGTGTTAAATTGTTTGTATATGTAGCCAGGTTATACATGTTGTTGTATTGAAGAAAATGAAGTAGCTTATATTTAGTTGATAAGGAATGGATGATGTTATCAGAAGCATTGAAGTCTCCTATGATAATAAGTTGAATGTTTGATGTGTAGGCTTGTTGAAGCCATTGTATTACAATGTTTTGTACTAACAATCTTAGTTGGGTATTATCATATGGTAGATAAACTGAAATAATTCTGAATTTAAAGTCATGTTTGAAGAAAATATCTACTGCAATGGCATATCCTGGAAAGATGAGTATATAATAATAATAATAATAAATCGTTCTATAACAATGTAACTAAACTTTCTAATTATACAATTTCTATTGTTTTAAATAGATGTAGCCAATTTCTTGCTGCTCTGTGATCCAGATAGACTCCACATTATCCTATTGTTGATATATCTACAAAAACTGTTTTTATTTAAACTGGTTTCTATACTGGTTTTTCATTCCATTTTTCAATGCTTTTTTTTAGTTATCCTAAATTCTCCTAAACCTTTTCAGTTAAACACTTCTTTTTGTCTTATTCTTAATAATTTTGATTTGCTACATCTATTATTGTATACAATTCTAAATATTTTACTTGTGCTAGTAGAAATGTTTATGATATGCTTTGAATCAACCTGTTACTGCTGCTAACTTTCTTGCTAAAACTGTCTGAAAACTCACCAAATTCACCAAATCCTCTTGAATTTTCAATAATTTCTTCTCCAGAATCTTTACTAAACTTTTTTTGTATCTACCACCAGTCTATAAATCTTTACTCTTCTTAATGACTCTCAATATCCTTTGTCTAATGCTCTAACTAAGCTACACTTCTCCAAATTGACTTCTATTACTCAATTTCTTATCTCTAACAAAATCTTTTTTGTGAGATATTCTACCTATACATCATCTATATAATTTTTGCAAAAAATGCCTTGCAACCTCCAAGCCTCAATCAAGTCTCTCATTAACTTTGAAAATATCTATGGAGCCTAACATAAACTGAATGACAGTACCATATAATGAATCTATTCTTCACCTATTCAAAAACTCAAAAAATACTGTGCCTATTTGTTTATTAAAACATAATGATATCCTTTTTGCAAGTCAAATACTATTACCTACTAATCTCTTTCTATCATTCTTAAAAACCCATTAAGCTCTTCAAAGCAAAAAAATTTCTTTAATAATATTTGATTTAACCTTCTCAAGTCTTTCACTAAATAGTACTTCTTTAGCTCTGCCTTTAGTACAAGAAATACTGAGCTTATTTCTAGTAAAAAGTCTGGCCTTTCTTAACCTACATGCACTAATTTTATTGCTTCTGTTTCTCTTAATTTTTTTAACTCTAAGCCTACCTAATCTAATTCATCCTTTGTCAACCTAAATTGTTTTAGAACTTCTATTTGAACTAATGTTTTTATACCCTTTATAAACAACAGAACTTTGTTTTTTAATCATATTATTACTACTGTTGTTGGTTTTATCTTTTTCTTTCAATAAGTTACTAAAGACTGCTGATGTACTCTCTCTATCACCTTCTTTTCTCTTTGTTCTATTCTTCTTAAAATACTCTTTATTCTCTGATTGTAATTAACTTCCTTTATCTTTAGAACTAGATCCATAAAAAGACTGATTTGTTTTCTTTTGAGAACAATCCTAAACAATATAATCTCTTTTCTTACAAATAAAACATACTACTCCTGCACTTCTATTTTGTCTCACAAGCCTACTTGGATTATATGATCTTCAATTCTGTTGTGAAACCCACAGGTTGTTTCAAGCATTTCACTAATTATTATATGCTTGTTATTTTTACATTTAATATGAAGCATAAGGAATATTACTACAGAATGGTTCTACTTCTGAGCTAAATCCTAAGTGAAAAGATTAACCTAACTAGTAAGATTGAATAGGCTAAATTAAAGACTATTATATCCTCTAGTTAGGTGCAAAAACTGTCACTCCTATAGGTATACTATTGAATGCTGATCCTGATGATGCAGATTTGTTTTTTACTCTCTGTTGTTTATTCTTAACAGATTGTTTTGCATTTGTTAACTTATTATGAAAAAGAACTTTTATAAAATCATCTAAAAATTTATCTTCAATTTTTGTAGCAATATTCCATTCTTCATAATTTACTATTCTTAAAACAAATGCTCTTGTAGCTACTATCTCTCTTGCTTTTAATATTATATTCCAATCATTGCTCAAGATGGCACTATCTATATACCTTCCAACTTTACATTACTCATTATACTTAAACTAATCTTACATCTTGTTCATTTTTTTCTTAATCCAGTACTTATTTTCTTCTATATTGTATACTAGTTATATACTTTTTCTAATCTTCTCTACTATTTTTTCTAACATTGTCTTTATTATTTTCTCAATTAACTTCTCAAGAGCTACATACTGTTGATCAAAATCCAAATAACCCTCCTAACACCTTCAAACCCTGTACCATCCTCATTAACATTATTTAAAAACCTATTTCTAGCAATATTATTATGTACTCCCTCTTCTATGTCAAAACCCATTCTTTCTTCTTCTACATTCTTATTTTTGATACTATCTACTACTCTGTCCTTACCTTTAGCCTTATTATACAAGTTTATTATTACATTAATTTTAATTCTAAGATGTTTTATAATTTCAATTGTTATTTCTAATTTTTTTAATATTTTTAATATTTTTAAAATAACAGACAACTAAATACCCTATCCACCAACCTCTCAACTAACTCCTTCTTATTTCCTTTCTCAAATAAACCTTTCCCTCTACATACTACCTTTAATGTATCAATTGTCAACCTATCCAAACTATTCCTCAGGTTCATTTTCTGATTTTTCTCAACTTCATCCTCCAAAATGTTACCAGTCATCGTCAAACTTGAACTCACTTCCTGAACTCCACTATCATTTTCCATTATTATGACTCACTACTGTTTTTCCTTATATGTCTTGACCACGTGATATTTATTTACAAATAGCTAGACTTGTGTCGAGCTTGCAGCAAAGAGAAAAAGTAACTCAAAAAACCCTAGAACCGTCTCCTTTATATACCTTTCATTATGACCTCATACTTACCTAAATGACATAACGTCACCTCATTCCTCTAACTATTCATACATCCATAACTCTATACCTATTAATTACGTACAAATTACAAATGGCATACGTCAGTGAACGGGGTATGGATCTCGTGACAAATGACTGCCATGTGACTTCGTTCACGGCATTACAAGATAGCTTTCTGACACTATAACGTTAGTGAAACGTTACGTTCTCAAAAACTACTTTAAAGTGTATAAATAAGTTACCCAGGCAATTGATCTACATCAGCCAATCAGACGAATTTCTGTCTAAGTACATGTCCGTAGATCGATCCCAAAGGCTGAAAGGACTGATTAACGGCTGATATAAAATAATATAAAAAAATTATGCGTTTAATCTTTTAGAAACCAGAGAACCAGACACAAAATGTCAACTCGCGTACCTAAAGAAGAGCTTTCGATACTTGAAGCCTTAATTAACATAAGAAATCGTCTACAGGCTTTAAAAAAGGATCAGCAGAATTATGTAAAGGTGCAGGCGGTTACAAAGATTTATGACGAGGTTTATATTCACCTATCACTATATCACTAGAAATATCTATTTATTGTCAACCTGAAATTTTAATGAAATTTGACTTATAACATAGGTCACGGAACAAGTTACAAAATTAAATGATATTCGCGAGAGTGCTGCAGAACCTCCAGCAAAGGACAATCGCGTCAACGATGTGCTTGACGATGTTTTCCAGCTGCTTTCTTTATTCTTTATCACGATTGGAAAAAGCAGGGAAAGTCCGGCGACTCATGCACAACTTGCCACGATCAAGGTGGGTTGGTCTTTATCGTTGTTGCTATTTATTTTTGAAGCCTATTTTTGAGGGCGAATTTTTGATTTTAAAGTTCGTAAATAATTCTACGGTGAAAATTCTCATTCTTGCCCGCAGCAATGTTTAGAACATCTTAACGAATCCGGTGCATATACGAAAAGTAAGTACAATAATATATATATTTGTTTAAAAAAGTATTTCATAAATATTATAAATTTTTCAATTTTCTAAAAATTAATAGATGAGCTATTAGCACATCAAAATCGTCTAAACGAAATTAGAAACATTATAGATGCTGGACGGGATGAGGTTATACCAGAACCTCAAATGAAATTATTGAAGAAGAAGCTTGTTGCATGCGGTGCGGGTTTACTGTTTTTTTTTTTTTTGAAATTGTTTCGAATGCATAGCATTAAATTATTTTAATGAATAGAAACGGTACTGAATCAACTACTTGAATCTGTGTCAAATATGAGCGAAGAACTTGTGCCCATTCATCAATCCCTGGTAGATATCAAGAGAAATCTTGGTGCTATAGGGGCCAAAAGCGAATTTGTGATTTCTGATATCATACCATATCAAAATAAACTAAGAGACATTGATTCTAAACGCGTGGATGGCAAGTTTTTGTCATCTAATGGAAATATACCTTCAGGGCAAGCACAAGTTATTGGGTTACTAGAGGAATGTTATGAAGATGCGCACGAATTAATTGCTAGCCAAAATAATGTGGCAGAATTCTTAAGACCATTATATGATCGTTTGATCGATTTAAAATCACAACTCGAACGTCTGGTGCTTACACATCGGTGGTCGTTGCGTGAAACTGATTTATGGTCTTATCAGTTACAACTAACAAAGATTGATAGTATGAGAAAGGATGGTAAATTTTATGATGATGAAGGAAATGTTCCAGAAGGACAGGCGGTATATATTACAACGTTAATGAATCTGTCATTTTATTTATACTACTGATTTCACCAATACTATCAATACTTGGTTATTTATTCACACTTGGACTTTTATATTTCACTTATAGACTCTGCTATATTTGTTGCACAAATGTTATCGATTGGTATATAAGATATTAAGTTCCAGTGAACCTATTGCTGAACCTCTTATACCAATTCATAATCAACTTCGAACTGTGAGAAAACTCTTACTTGAGGTCAAAAAATTAGGTGGCCCATTTACAAGTATGTTATTGGATATTATCAAACATATTATAAATACAAGTAACTCTCGATATAAGAAACTCTTGATATAAGATTTTTCAAGTCCCAATCGAGAGTTTTTATAATTAAAAGCATTCGATATAAGAAAGGTTTTGACTGGATCCAGTAACTTTCTTATATCAAGAGTAACTTGTATTAATTTATTATCATGTAATGATGCATATTTATAATTTTACGAAATATATGGTTTTGTTTTTAGACAGAGAATTATATCATTATCAAATGAAACTTGCATCTATTGACAATCTTCGCACAGATGGTAAGTTTCTAGACACAGATGGATCAATACCGGAAGGACAAGGTATTGTTATGGCTTTGTTGAATGAATGTTATGACATTTTGTTTGAAATGAAAGCTGACGTGGAAGAGGAGGTTTAAGCATAATTCGACTTTTTTTTTTTTATTGTGGATATATATTCTAATATAAGTGAGAAATAGTCTAATCATTTTTAATTAGTTATATGCACGTGTAGTTTTAGTTTTCTATTAAATTTATTATCAATTTTTTAAAAAATATCACTAAAGAATTGGCATAATAAATAAACTTTATTTTATAATATTTAGTAAATCTAATTTTCTATTAGCATACGAAACAGTGATTACGCAAGATTAAATAGAAATTTGTAGAATAATATGAAATGAAATAAATGTACTATAATAAAGATTGATTTCTTATACATCTTCGGCTTCCATTAATTCTTCTAATTCGCGCTCTTCCTCTTCTGTAAGCATTGAGGTTGATTTTTCTTCTTGAACTATCGGTTTTTGCTGGGATTCCTGACTTGTAATTTCTTTCATAATTATTAAAATGTTAATATATATATTATATTTATTATTTAAGTTAGCTTTATAACATTCTTTCAATTTTACATACCAGTAAGAGACCACATTCTTAATGTACAATCAAGAGACCCTGTATATAATCTTGTTCCTCTTATTGCTGTACATGACACCTCATCGAAGTGACCCTCAATAACCTTGATCAATTTCCCACTCTGTTAAGGTATCAAATAATAATAATGTATTTTATCACTATATAAACAACGGGAATAGAAATTCAATAATATACAAACCCCAATATCGAAAACACGTATAGACTCATCTCGTGAACCGGAAATAACATAAGGACCACAAATAGCAAGGCATCTAACAAAGTCAGGATGTTCTAAAGACATATCAGGTTTTCCAGTCTATTCAAGGAAAAAAAAAATATATCAGAAAGATTTGTCAAGTAATAAAATTCCGAATTATTTACATATAGATCCCATCTTTTTACGGTCTTGTCTGCTGAAGCTTTTAACGGAATATTAATATAAATAATAATGGTAATTTAATTTAATATTAATATAATTATCAAATATATATTACACATTATCAAAGAGTGATATATATATATAATTAACAAACCTGTCCACATTTCCTCCTCAAAAACCTTTAAAGCATATATATTAGTTAAATGACCTTCAAATATTTGTAAGCATTCTCCTGATAAAGGATTCCATTTTATAACAAGACCATCTGAAGATGCGGAAAATAAAAAGGTTTCTTTCTCATCAAATGTGAGATCTTCGATCCCACGAGTATGTCTTTTAAATACTTTTAATGGTTCACCGGTTAAAAGGTTCCATGATCGAATATGTTTATCTGAAGAACCAGAAAATAAAGTGGATGTTTTATGGGAAATTGCTAAGGATTTTACAAAATCCGTGTGTAAACTGAAAGTGCAAAGAGATTCTTTTGTCTACAAACAGAAACTCAATTATTAAACTTGTAGAAATATATAGTGACATATGTTTATTATAATACCTTTGAATCCCACTTTTTAAGTGTTTTATCCCAAGAACCTGTAATCAGATATTCAATCTCATCTTTATACCATAAACCAAGACAAGTAACGGGACCAGTATGACCTTTAAAAATCTTTACAGTTTTTTTTGTCTATATATATATAGTATAAGCGATATTATGCACTAGATACAACTTAAATTTTTCCATAAATTCATCTAATAAATCATACCGATAAGTTAACTTTTTTTGCAATAAACCCGGATTCACCAATATAAGCATAATCGAAATTATCAGTCTTTTCAGTAAGTATCATACATAAAACTTTAGAAGTACATTCAATCGGATCACCAGCTTTATTTTGTTGTTTTTTAAATTTACGTTCTTGAATAGCAATGTCCTGATCGGATTGGAAAAAATTGTTTGCTGAAGTTCCTATCTGTGGTCCATCAAATTCAGCCATACTGAAAAAATATATATATTTGTATACTAAATTTTTTTTGTTTTTTTTTTTTAATTATTACGGACTGGTTAAAAATATTGCATATACGTACATTCGCGTTAAATATTGATTTTTTTTCTGCGTCTGTACCTTGTACAACTTTGTTGCGTTAATCCAAGAATTTCTGATTATGTGCACTGATCGATCAATCGGAGCTACGTAATATGTTTCTCTTGTGGAAATTTTTTTGTGTATAACGATTATGATAGCGATAAATGTGAAGATTATTGTTATAAATAATTTCTGACAAATTATAAATATTATTCGAATTCTAGAGTTGAATTGACCGAACCCAACTTTTCATGTCTTCGCTACGCTCCGGACTATGCAATATTCGGATTTGTACAAATTGTTATAAATTACCGTTACCCATATTTTTGGCAATTTCCCGATTATTTTATGGGTAATTTATCAACATTTGCACCATTAATTAGTCCTTTTAAATTTAAGTCAATTGAATCCACCAGGGCGGCCACGAAAATTTCGGGTCACATGAAGTGTCGATCATTTCCGGCCTTCCGATCTATTACGATGCGATCCATGTGGGCGATCATCATCCGCCAATAAATTTAGTCATAATATTACAGTTTTAACTTATCTTAAATTTTTATTATTTCATTTATTTCATTTATCTTACATCTTTATTTATTTTATTTATTTCATTCTTTCGTTATTTCATTTACCAAGCTTGTATATTGCAAATACTAACGTAATATCAATATTACATAATTAAGAAATAAAAAACTTAGATAGGTCAAAAAATCAAACTTTAATCTAATAAATGATCATATATTATTGAATATTTTATTGGACTCTAGTTAAATTTTTAACATAAACGTTTTTATAATCCAATTCAATAATTAATTGAGTATTAATCGTTGTGAACTTTTAATATTCAAGCTTGTTGAACACATTGGACTGACATTATTAGATGTAATGAATATATATTTAGATCAATTTTTAATGTTAAAAAAATAAAAAATTTAATGTTAAAAATAAGTAAATTGATAGTTATTTTGGTAATATATAATTTCAGTTGGTCTTATTGTGTATTATAATATTTTTCATAACTATAGCATCAGTATTATTTGTAATCATAGTGTCAGTGTTATTAGGTAAAAAATTTTTATTAGAATTGTTTAATTTTTTTGGATACAACAAATATATTAGGTATGGTTTTTGGCAGTTAATATTTAAGTTGCTTGTTAATATTTTTGTCTTTTTATTGTTTATATATCTTTTTCTATTTGTACTAATTAATTTTATTCTATTATTGTACAAACATGTTACCAATTATTAGCAAATTTTTTATTACTAATTTATTTAATAATCTATTTAAATAATATTCAATTTGATTTAATATAATAATAGGTTTTTTTTTCTAAATCTTTATTAATGTTAATACTATTAGGCATATTATTAAGAGTAGTTCCAGTTTTAAAAGATATTAAAAAATAAAATACTAAATATATTTTTATTATACTTATAATCTTTTAAAACAAAAAATAATGATATAATGTAATGCTTAAAATTATTTTGTATTAATTATTATCATTGATTATTAAGTATAATAAAAAGTTGTTGAACAAAATACTTATACAATAAGAAACAACTTTTGAGAAAGGTTGAATAATTGCAAATTAATAAATAATATTTATAAAATATGAATTTTTTGTATTAGTTATTTTTTTTTGATATTATTATTATTATTTTTTTTTTTAACCTTAAGCAGTTTTGCTAGTACTTTATTAAGATCTTGAAATTATATACATTTATAATTATATAGGATTTTTTAATACTTAAGTCTAGCATCACTTGGCCATCTTATTGGTATCTAAGTGCAACTTGTTACACTATCTTAGTTAGAGATAAACTGCTCATCTAACTACTTAAAGTTATATCAAAAAGGTCTTCACTTTTCTGTAACAAGCATATTAATTGTTTTTTAAGCTTTCTTTTTCAATCAGTTTATTTTTTCTACTTTCTTTTTCTTTTCTTTTTCCTTTGCTATCTTATTATACTTGATTATAAAATGTTTTTCATACTGTTTTTGTCACTATATTTATGCATTTCTGTGTTGCCTGTTTATTTAAAATCTGATTGATCCTTTTTTCAACTTCATTTGTTGTTAGTTTTTTTATCAAAGCTGTTCTATTAGTAATTTTTGTTGCTTTTGTTTTTTCAAATAGTACCTCATATAGCACTAGAGATGAAATTTTAACTCTTTTATTTTCTTTAAGACTATTTTATACTACTGTTATTGCTATTTTTTGAATTCTCTTCTAAAAGCTTTTTTGTCTGATGCAGTTTGCTAAGTATGCATGAGTTTTTTTTTCACCTTTTTGACATATTTGGTAATCAGCTGTTTTATATATTTCTAGTTTTCTTCTATTTAATTCTTTTAGCATTGGTAGGCTATCTATTATGCATTTAATTGCTATTATGCTTCTTGTACTAAGTTTTTTTGTTGTACAGTATACATCCTTTGTTTTATTTATCTCTTTTCAAAAACTTAATCAACTATATTAAATGTTCTTAGTTTCTGGCTTTAGTGCTTGAATTGGGTTTATTTCTTTTCAACAAACTTCAATTCTAATATTTGTAACTATTTTGCAAAGAAGTCTTGTTGATATATTAATTTTTTTGTTTTCTTAATCTAAGTGGTATTCTATTTTGTCATATTTGATTTTCTCTATAAATATTATTCTTCTATATATTGCTTCTTTTTTTGTAAGTAAATCTGCTCTGTCATTCTACTTATTATTACTGTGACTTTTAATCTTAACTAGTTTTATTCTATTGTTCTTATTTTTAAATAAACTTACAATATTCATTATCTACATTAAATTTTTTTTTCAAGACTTTGTCATCTTCTATTTCTTAAATTACTCTGTTAATATGCCTTAATGCTACAAGGTTATTTGTATGACTTTTATATATTTTATCTCTTGTATAATTAGAATTGCTAACTAAATTGTTGCTAATTCTGCTGTTGTTGCTGAGGGTTAACCTTTAAGTTTCAGTACTATTTTTTCTTCTAGTCAGTTTTCTCTGTTGCTAACCTGCATTCAACCAATGTCTATCTTTTCTA